AAAGGCTAGTGTAAACTCCCTACTCCCCTCCTAGACAAGGTCGCCCAGGTGGACCTGCGCCCTACTCCTTTGAGCCACAGGCACCACCCTATACATAATTTTTTAAAATGTATTATATTTGTAAATTGTACATATGTTGAAATTAAAAAATATATTACAATACTATTTTTGCGTTCTATGAAAATTTTTGTTGCTCCATATAGACCAAATTTTTAATCAAGAACACACCCCTCCTCCACCCCACCCTTGCCCCACTTCCGATCAATGGTGTCCTACTTTACCAATGTTAAAATCTGGACACCTTATTTTAAGTATAAAAGAAACATGTGATACATAATCAGTTTAGACACAGGTAACAATTTTGTAAAGCCAGACAGAGGGATACTTGTGTCCCAGCTCCAAGGCGGGTTAGAAATCATTAGAAATCACTGTCTTCTCCACCCTGGATTTTGGAGACTGATCTTCCCCGGCCCTCATGCACAGACCTGATGTGTGTGACCTGTAGCCGATTCTACAACCAAGTGTCTCAGCCACTGTCAGTCGGTCCCTTACCGATGCCACCTCCGTTATGAAGCCTGTCTCCCCTCTAGACTTCTGTAGCACTCACACAGAGTGGAAGCGCCTTGGGGCACGGTGGGGGCTGTGTCTTGCTATCTGTGTGTGCTGCACAGCCCCAGCACCTAGTTGGTGCTTCATGGCGAAGAATTTTAATGATGTACCAGACCAGCAACAACGCAGACAAACGCTCTCAGATTCCCAGAGATGGTGCCACGAGCTGTCCAGCCCAGGACTGCTGGTCCTCATCGCTCCCTTCCTTCCTCATTTTCCTGTTTTTAAGTCACATTTTATTCACCATGTTTTTGGCAAGTCTCCTCATCGTTAGTTAAACAAAGGTATACACAAAACAATTTCACTTGCGGCTGTGTTTCACGGAGGAGGGTCCGCCCCCAAAACAAACCCCTTGAAGCCCAGTCTACCCCCACCCCCACCCCCGCCTCCACCGAGGTTTCCTCCAGCTGAGACAGTCCTGCCGGGTACCAGGGAGGTGTCCCGAGCGGTGCCCCGGTGTGCTCTGTTTGCGTTCCTTGGGGTCCTTAGATTTCTTATTTCTGCATGACTCATTCTTCCATTCATGCATCTGTTGAAAATTTACTGGGTACTTGTATCTACAAGACGCTGGAGGAAAAAATGGCCAGCAAAGCAGTCAGCCTACTTTCATGGGAGGAGGTAGGGCTTCTCATGGAAGATCTACAGAAGAAAATCGGTACCCAGTGAGGTTAAGCCCAGTGCTAAAAGAAAGAAAATAAAGGCAACCTGGCATAACTGCGCGGGATGCCCCTTGTAAGTCCCGTCTCACTTGCGCCCCCTGCTGCCTGCATCGTGCCCCGGCGCCTGCTCCAACATCCAGAGCAAGCCTGCAGCTGGCCTGGCGCGCGCCCCAGCAGCATCTCCCTGGCACTTCTGAGCTGGAGACTCCCTGGCTCCAGGCTCCAGAGAGGAAATGGAGATGGAACTTAGTCTAACGGAGAATTTGAAGTGGACAGTATTTCCTCAGTGGGAAAGGGGTCTCCAGGGCCAGGAGAATTCCAAGAGGTGGGACTGCTGGGAGTGGAGACGCTGGCGCTGAGCTCAGGCTGAAAGGCAGGAAGGTGAAAAGGGCAGGCTGAAGTCTCCTGGATTCTCAGTGCTGTCCGCCGGGGCTGGGAGTTTCCTGTTGCTTCCTATGAGCTATTTTTTCTCTGCATTTAGGGGAATTAGTGTATTTCATGAAAGGATGCAGTTTCATAAAGTTAGTTGCTACAGACTCCAGGGTGTGCACGAGTGTTCCTTCACCTCTTTCCTTTGATGGGATTGTAGGAAGCGAGCTCATTTCCTAGAGCGTTGGTTCATGGAAGCAGTGACTGGAGTCTGTTATGTCTTCTGGGCAACTACTGCGCACTTCGGTGGACTTGCCTTATGGAAGAAGGTGAAAGACCTTGGAATCAGGAGACCATTGCTTGGTTGTGTGACCCTGGGAGAGGCCTTCCCCTTTCCTGGGCTGTGGTTTTCTCCTCTGTAAGGGACCTTGTATTTCTAGTGTCCTGTGAACACTGCCCTGGGATTGCATTTGAGAGAGATTTGCTGAGAGTGGGCAGGAGGCAGAGCTAAGTGGTGGGGTAGGGGATGGGATGGACAGCAGAACGGGGAGCCCAATCAGACCTGGCTGCCCACATCGGAACCTGGATAACTAAAGTCATCTATTACAGCTGACTTCTCAGTTCCCCAGTGACATAGGAATTGCTTCCTGCCTATTAGGTAAAATCAAGGGAAATGACCTTGACCCACAATGACTGAGGAAAGCTCAACAAACCAGACAACCACACTTTGTTCCCTAAGCATGTACAGTGGTCTTTACCAGGCACCATAAAAAGAATGACAGGTGGTAGCTTTTGCCTGGCATTTGAAAACTGGGCTGGAGCAGGAGAAAAGCGCCAGGGAGTGTTGAACTTTTCCCCATGACCTGCACCCACAGAGCCCAACATGACTGCTAATGCCAAGGGATTAGCTTAGGGGAGCAGGTGAGGGGATATGAAGAAAACCAGAGGGGTGGCATATGGGTGGAAAAGTCAATGTTTAGAGGGCAGCAGGAACTAACCAGAAAGGCCACAGGAATTTTAGCATGTGTGATCCTGGATTCTAGGAGTCAGGGCTTTGCTGTGGAAAGAAAATCGATTTAAGGGAAGTCAGGAGAACTGACTCCTAGCGCTATGTTCTCGCTTTACAGGCAGAGTGATCCTGGCAAGTCACAACTGGAGGCAGTAAGGTTCCTTACATTGCTCTCTACAGGAAACTCTTGTCCTCTATAAAGTTAGAAGTACAGGGATGATCTCAGCCCTCTTAACAGAGAGAAAACCTTGCTAAGAGTAAAGCCAAACAGATTCTACTCTAATTCTTGCTCACTATGTACTTTTTGAAAAGTCCTATCAGTGATGTTGGCTGTCTGATTCAGGAATTACGCTTGATTTTACCTAATAGGCAGGAAGCAATTCCTATCTCATCGGGGAACTGAGAAGTCAGCTGTAATAGGTAACTTTAGTCAGCTATAAGTAGGTGCCCATTGGCGAATGTCTTATATTTAGGCTTAACATTAGCACCAATCAAATAAGAAGAGACTCTTCAGAGCAAACCATATTTTTCCATTCTGGAGGTGAGTCTGCCAGGGCACATTTAAAATATTTACTTCACACACACAAAAAAAAATCAATAAACAAAATATTTACTTCATGAGTATAGAAGATGTTATCAATATGGCAACACATAATTGCTCATTATTTTATTTATTTTTGAGACAGAGTCTCACTTTGTCACCCTTGGTAGAGTGCTGTGGCATCACAGCTCACAGCAACCTCCAACTCCTGGGCTCAAGCGATTCTCTTGCCTCAGCCTCCCAAGTAGCTGGGACTACAGGTACCCTAGAGAGGAGGTTTTGCTCTGGCCCAGGCTGGTCTAAAACCTGTGAGCTCAGGCAAGCCACCTGCCTCTGCCTCCCAAGTGCTGGGATTATAGTAGTGAGGCCCCGTGCCTGGCTAACTGCTCATTATTTTAGTGATGCGGACGCCACCTGCATTTTGATTTGCATGAACTCCTGCAGTTCTTGGTATTTTTGCTGTTTGTTTTCTTCTCTCTGGGTTTATTAATGTAAAGCAGGGAATATTTAACCTTTGGCCCAGAAAGCCTATGAATTTGGGTGGGAAAAAGCAACATTTTTATTTTCACCACCTTCCAAGTGAATTTTACACTTTATCCCATCATAGCTGTAGCCACAAACTCAAAGTTGCACTAATAATACCTGTGCTTTTGTCCCTACCAATAGAAATCAGACATTTTCTATTATAGTTGTTGCAGATGTCATGAAATATTTACACTCAAAACTACTATAAAAGTAGGCTGCTTGTTACGTCTTGTTTTTTTTGTTTTGTTTTTTTTTTGAGGCAGAGTCTTATTATGTCACCCCTGATAGAGTGCCTTGGGGTCACAGCTCACAGCAACCTCTAACTCCTGGGCTTAAGTGATTCTCTTGCCTCACCTCCCAAGTAGCCTGGGCCCCCGCCACAACACCGGGCTATTTTTCTTGTTGTTGCAGTTGTCATTGTTGTTCAGCAGGCCCAGGCCAGGCTTGAACCCATCAGCCTCCGTGTATGTGGCCAGTGCTCTACTCACTGAGCTGAGATCTTGTTTTTAATGTGTTAATAAAATGGCATGTTTTTATTTCTATTTTAATATTTTAATAGTTTTGGTATCATGTGCTCCCTCTGTAATTTTACATATATTATATACACTGAAAACATCTTTCTGAAAAGGGATCCATAGATTTCACCACTGAGGTTCATGGTATGTGCCCACACACAGAGAAAGACCTGGTCTAGATGCTAATAACATTGACATTGGTGCCTAAGATGGAAGGTTGAAATTAGAGACTTCTCCCAATGACATACCCCTGCGTGTTTAAAGCCAGGGGCGAGGGAAGAATTCTGCTTTCAACTGCTTCTAGGACTGCTACCCTCTGAAGCTTATGGAGGTAGTTGGCTGTTACTTGTCCCTGCTTTAAGGACAGAACTGTGTCATAGGTGTGTCTACAACCCCAGCTTCTAGCATAGTGCCTGGCACACAGCAGGTTGTCATGACATTTGCAGAGGGAATGGAAACATAAGTTAGAAATACATCCTTGTTGAGATCAGCCCACAAATAGTCTTGTTGGATGAGGTGGGTGTATGCGTGTGCCAGACTGGTGGGAGATGATTATTGGGGTGCTGGGTGCTTACATTGGGACGTTCTTTTTAAAAGAATTCCAAACAGATTTTTGGGAGGTTATTTTCTAAGAATCTTTCTGGCAGTGTGAAGGCAACCCCCACTGTGCACAGCCCCACCCAGCCTCACGTGGCCACCTCTTTCTCCCTCCATGGAGGGCTGGCTCCCCTGTACATATAAACCTCTCTGGAGCTCTGGCAGGAGCCAGCAGGGCCACCCATCCAGTGCAGCACAGCTTCCCAGAGGAAGCCTCACCCAGCCTCTGTACTGAGGTTCTTCTGTGCACGCTGCTGCTGCTCCGGGCCCGAGATGCCAGCTGTCCAGCTGCTGCTTCTGGCTTGCCTGGTATGGAACGTGGGGGCCAGGACAGCACAGCTCCGGAAGGCCAATGACCGGAGTGGCCGATGCCAGTATACCTTCACTGTGGCCAGCCCCAATGAATCCAGCTGCCCCGAGCAGGGACAGGCCATGTCAGTCATCCATGACCTACAGAGGGACAGCAGTGCCCAGCGTGCAGACCTGGAGTCCACCAAAGCTCGACTCAGCTCCCTAGAGAGCCTCCTCCACCGGCTGACCTTGGGCCAGGCTGCTGGGCCCCAGGAGACCCAGGAGGGGCTGCAGAAGGAGATAAGCATCCTGAGAAGGGAGCGGGACCGCCTGGAAACCCAAACCCGGGAGCTGGAGACCGCCTACAGCAACCTCCTCCGAGACAAGTCTGTCCTGGAGGAGGAGAAGCAGCAACTGAGGCAAGAGAATGAGGATCTGGCCAGGAGACTGGAGAGCAGCAGCCAAGAGGTAGCAAGGCTGAGGAGGGGCCTGTGTCCCCAGACCCGAGACACTGCTCAGGATGTGCCACCGGGCTCCAGGGAAGGTAAGAGTGAAAGGAGATGGGCTGTGAGTTCAGCAGGAAACACGGGTCGTGGGGTCCTGGGCCTGCCTGACTGCCCTCTCCCTCCTCCAGAGCCTGCACATTCTAACACAGGAAGAGATGAAGGATCATAAAGCAATCGCTTTCAAGATTCCTAGAAATTTAGCTCCTGATAGCTTGGTGTAGGCTTGTGATTCTGAGTTCTTATGCCTATCCGTGGCAGAATCTTCACAATCTACAAGAAAAGGAGAAGTGTATGTGTGTGGCCAGTGGACAGTTGGTGGCTGTCCTTCCAGAAAAACTGTCCTTTTTTGAGTCTTTGCTCAGAAACTATTTGTTGTACCTTTCGGTGTTCAAATAGCCTCTACTTTGTGAAATGATAATAGATTTATGTTAAGAAGTTACTAAGTCTTTAATGTCCTTCCTTAGCACAGTAGAGAGGGGACAACTCTGTCAGTTCCCCCAACTTGTTGTTTTGGAAGTCTTCCTACTTTTAAAAAATTTTTTAAATTTTTTATTGTTTGGGATTCATTGAGGGTACAAAGAATTAGGTTGAGCTGGTTGCATTTGTGCGATAAAGTCTCTCTTATAATTGTGTCCCACCCCCAAGAGGTGTGCCATACAACCTGACCCCTGCTTCACCCCTCCTTTCTCTCTGCTCTCTGAGTTTTCCTACTTTTTGATCAATCTGAGAATCTCTGCTTTGATGTCACCAGACAACTTGCTTGGGTGAAAATGTGCTCCCAAATACTGTTAAGTTTTCTAGCAAGCAAACTCAGCTGTGGGACAATTAGCCCAAACTCATCAACGATATCATTGTCAAGAAAGAAAAAAGAGACGGAGAAAGGACTTGTTCTAGACTAAAAGAGACATGTTAGCTAAATGGGGTGCGTGATCCTTGACTGACTCTGTCACTCAAGGGGAACAAAGATGAGGGATAGGCTTGGGACAACTGAGGACAATTGAATATAGACGGCTCGCGAGATGGCGTTACTGCAGTAATGTTCAATGGTATTGTGGTTATGAAGGAAAAGGTCCTTATTCTGAGAGGATGGTCAACGATTTAGGGGTGCTTCAGAATGCTCTGGTAAGGATGATTCTTTCACTTCCCTTCACAGACTCAGGTTCAAGCCTCAGGCTATATTACTGACCAGCTAGCCATTAGCATCTCAGGACCTCACTTTCCTTAGCTGTAAAATTCTGATGCCTGCAATGTGCTTTCAGATGGTTGAGCAAAGACTGTAAAAGTATAGGAGAGAAAGAAAAGTATTAATAAAACAAATGTGGCAAAGTATTAACAACTGGTGAATGATCTAAACGAACAGCAAATGTGGAATTTCCTGTACTATCCTTTCAATTTTTTAATAGGTTTGAAAATCTTTAAAATTATGAGGGCGGTGCTTGTAGCTCAAGCGGCTAAGGCACCAGCTATATACACCAGAGCTGGCGGGTTCAGATCCCGCCCAGGCCTGCCAAACAATAACAGCTACAACCAAAAAATAGCCAGGCATTGTAGCTGACAGCTGTAGTCTTAACTACTCAGGAGGTTGAGGCAAGAGAATTGCTTAAACCCAAGAGTTTGAGATTGCTGTGAGCTGTGACGCCATAGCACTTTACCCGGTGTGATAGCTTGAGGCTCTGTCTCAAAGAAAAAGAAACATTATGAGAACATATTCTCTTTTAAAAGACTTTCTACATGACAGGCAAGATGTGCACAGGTATGAGGCCAGACAATCTAAGAGCCTGGTATGACCTTGGGCAAGTTATTGAACCCTCTGTTCCTTAATTTCTTATCCATAATATGACAAAGAAAATGCTGGATGTGAATAATAATGTTTGTGGAGTTCACGTGAAGCAACTATTGAATGTAAAGGATATTTATTTATTTATTTGAGACAGAGTCTCACTATGTCACCCTCGGTAGAGTGCCATGATGTCATAGCTCACAGCAACCTCAAATTCTTGGGCTCAAGTCATTTGCTTGCCTCAGCCTCACTTGTAGCTGAGAATATAGGAACCTGCCCAGCTATTCTATTTTTTTTTTTTTTAGTTTGTTTATTGTTTAGCAGGCTGAGGCTGGGTTCGAACCCACCAGCCCTGGTACATGTGGGCAGCCTCCTTACTGCTGAGCTACAGTCACTGAGACAGTGAAGGATTTTTAAATCCTAGATTGTTAGAATTGGAAGAGATCCAATTTGGAATTTTACAACTAAGGAAAGTGAGGTCCTAAATTGCTAAGGGGCCAAGGGGTGGTCAGTGACACAGCCTGAGGCTTGAACCTGAGTCTGTGAAGACAAGTGAAAGAATCATTCTTACCAGAAGCGTTATGAAGCATTACTTAGCCCAGCCTGTGAACTTTACATTCACAACAAAGTGTGTATGGGATGTGTGAATATGAAAACAGAGGCAACTATTTTGCCTTTTTATTTTCTTGTCATCATTTAGCAAGTCTTTGGGAACTTATTAGGTATGTTCTCTAATTTTATATTTCTCTTTGTCCTTTCCAACTGCTCCACTTTTGAAATAAGGGCAACATCTCATTGTACTGAACTTCAGACTTGGAAATTGTTTTCTACTAGGGGATGATTTTCCTGAGCAGGACATTACATTAACAAAGAATGTAGAATTGGAAAGGGACTTAACAAGCATCGGGGGCCACTGGCTCATTTTCGCAGATGTGGAAACGGAGGCCCAGAGAAGTTACTCAGTCTGTCCATGGCCACCTAGTTTGTTAGTGGCAGAGCCAGGACCAGAATTCTGGCCTCTCCCCCCGAGATTCAAGAACCTTCAGGACCCCCACCTGACCTTTAGTTTGTAGACCCTCCAGGTAAAAGACAGAAAGATACAGAAACGCTTGGAACGTTGTTTCTCATTCTCTGCCAAAAAGAGAGACAGAGACAGAAATGCTTAGAACCAAAGGTGTGCTTTAAGGTCCTAGATCTGGGGCTAAGGGATATTCTAGGAAACTGGAATATACAGGTAGGTGTGCTTTTGTGCAGGAGTGGCAAGAATTGGGGTGTAGAGCTTGGATAGGGAGGTTTAGGGAGGCTGAGTGGGCAAAGGGAAGCCCTGAGAAGGCAGCTTTTCCTTACCCCACCTACAGTTCAAGTTTACCAAACAATAAATTAGAGCTGGTTATTACTGTCACAAGAGAAGCTCCACTTTCTCCTTTCCTGAGCCCTTGCTCTGGATTGGTCTTTTCCATAGACAGAGCCCGGATGAGGGCTTGTGTGCACGTAGTTTACATGGGCCACGATCCCAGGGAAGAGAAGTCGGGCACAGGGGAGAGGGAGATGGAAGGAAGGAAAGCCAACAAGGCTTATAGGGGATGCTTCTCATATTGTTACCCTAGTGGGCACTGGAGGCTCGATCCACCCAGCCCTTCAGAGAGGCTATGAGGACTACAACAGAAAAGGGAGCTTTTATCCATGAATGTGACACGCTATCAGCCAAGGGCTGTCCTATGGGGTATATTGTACTTCTGTGATATGTAGGTGTGAGTCCCAGGCTGGTTCTTGCAGACTTTCTAAGCAGAAGGTCCAGAGAAGCTAGGGCAGGATGATTGAGGTGAGGTCGAAGCAGGTGGGAGCTACAACAGGAAGGTTGCCATAGCAACAGTTGGGTAAAGGTGGGCAGGACTGGGGAGGAGCACGAGGGGTACAGAGGTGTTCAGAGGAAGTGCTGCAGACTCCCTGTCCTCATACAGCAAGATGGGGTTGACAGCCCCTCATAGGGGCAGTGTACAGATGAGCAGTAATGGAGAAAACCCTGGCACAGTGCCCCAGAGTGCCCACCCACAAAACAGATTATAATACAAAGGGCTTCTTTTGCTTGAATCCCAACATTTGTTTAAAATGTCATTCAATGATCAAAATGTCAACCTGTACACAACATTTCCATAATATACCTTGATTCTTGAGATGGTACGGGTTAGAATAGCACCCAGATGATAGTCTATTAGCTAATCTTCACTTTCCTAAAGTGTTGGTGACAGCCTGTAGATACGGTGACACCCTTTTCTTCATTCTCTTCATTTATGTAATATGGACTGAACTTTTCAGACAATAATAGAAAATACCTAAAAAATTATGATGTCACTAGCCTAAATGTATTTGTAGTGTGTGCGTGTGCACGCAAATGAGTTAATACATTTAGTTTCTAGGTTGGGCTCTTTAGGATGTGAGCCTATAGAGCAGAGGGCAGTGCATGTAGAAAATTTCCAGAATTTTGTAATAGACATGAGCTTTTAAACCATAGAACTGAATTTTAATAGAAAAAGGTTTTACAAATAGAAGCCCTAAACATGTTATCTGACACGGCATAGTCCTGACATTTCTCATGGTCTGGCTCATACCTGTAATCCGAGTACTCTGGGAGGCCGAGGAGGGCAGATTGCCTGAGCTAGAGTGAGAGTCCATCTCTAAAACAAATATCCAGGCATTGTGGTAGGTGCCTATAGTTCCAGCTACTTGGGAAGCTAAGGCGAAAGAATTGCTTGAGCCAAAGAGTCTGGGGTTGTTGTAAGATACGACACCATAGCACTGTACCAGGGGCGACAAAGTGAGACCCTTGTCTAAAAAAAAAAAAAAAATTTTCATGTTCTTTTCTTTCTTCTACATTCAGAATGAAATGTTAGTGATTTTGACCTTTTCTAGATAAATTTTAGGTTTGACACATCTATAAGGATTTTTTCATTTATAGTTTTGTATGTAAGCCTCAAAACAACCTGATACATTTGCACAGCTCAGGATACCGGGGCTCAGAGAGGTTGAGTCATTTGTCCAAAGCCACGCAGCTGGTCGATGGCAGTGCTGAACTAGGAAGCTATGATTTCTGGCTCAGCCCTGGTGCCTTCACACGACTGCTATCCTGCCTTTCGGCCTCAAGCCAGACGGCTCTACTCCAGGAGTCTGACTGTTGCCAGATGCTCCTGGCTAACATAACCAAAAAACTTAACCATCCCACTTGCCAGCTGGGAATTGGCCTTGCGGTTGGTCATTCAG